CCCCAAAACCCCAAAACCCCAAAACCCCAAAACCCCTTGAGTGTAAATGGTGGAATTTCCAATAGAATTAAAAATAAAAAATTATATTGTGGCTATCTAATTTAGTAGTCGGATAAAGCAAATCATTAAAAAGAACCGCTCTATTTAAAATCTTAAATGGCGGTCCTTTGAAACTTAGAGTCTTAAAGAGAAATATTCTGCAGTAAAATATAAAATAGAATATAGAAGTATATATCATAGGTGAAGGTATTGTTTTTAATATTTAGACTAATTAAAAATAGATAACGCTGCTGCTATAAGTCATTAAGGAAGAGATGTTCAAGATCTCTCACCTCTGATTCTTCTGGCGAGTTGCATGTCCTTTGGCATGATGGTAACTCTCTTGGCGTGGATGGCGCAGAGGTTGGTGTCTTCAAAGAGACCGACGAGGTAGGCCTCGGAGGCTTCTTGGAGGGCGAGGACAGCAGATGATTGGAATCTGAGGTCGTTCTTGAACTCTGAGGCGATTTCTCTAACGAGTCTTTGGAAGGGGAGCTTTCTGATGAGGAGTTCAGTGCTCTTTTGGAATCTTCTGATTTCTCTGAGAGCGACGGTACCTGGTCTGAATCTGTGTGGTTTCTTGACTCCACCGGTGGCGGCGGCAGCTGATGATTTCTTAGCTTGTTTGTGAGCAATGTGCTTTCTTGGGGCCTTGCCACCAGTGTTCTTTCTTGCGGTTTGCTTGGTTCTTGCCATTTTATATAGTTTGTGTTTGAAACTTAGAATTTATAGAGTCTTAATTGAATTCAAATTTATTATGCTTCGCTTTATCTATCTTCCAAATTATTGGCTCTTATTGGCTAATATGCTATATCTGTTCATACACCTAGGATTTACTCATAATTCTTCCAATAGTTTTACTATTTTCCAATTATTATTCGAGCAAACAGAGACATGCTAGTCAATCCATCACAATTTCTCTATTATTTCCATTAATTGTCATTGTCATGGTCCTTAATTAAGCAAAGAAATGCTTGAGATAATGGCTCCTAATCAAGCATTTTGATCAATAAATATTTCTCATGAATTTCGGCCGATATTGCCATAGAAATCTCTAATTCTAAATATTGTTGGCAATTGTACTGATCTTATCAATTTTACAGCATTATTAAATTATATTATAATAGAAACAAACTCAGATTAAGTTTTAAGATTACACTGATATTCATTAATTAATTAAACACATTCTAACCTCAGAAGACAATGCTCCATGAATACGTATATATGACTTTCACTTTCAAATATATAATGGTAGATAAAATTAAACCCCTTCTCGAAAATATAATTAAATGAACCAATCGAAATTCCCAGAAGACTAAGCATGTGGACTAGCCTTCTCCTAAATCCTAAACAATGACTAAAACTTATTATTGCAAATGTTTGTCTCTTCAGGCAAATCAGTGCATGACTTGGGAAATTATTAGTAATGTGTGAGATAACCCAAACTCAAATACACTTTAATCACGCTAAAGAGTCAGTCTTAGTTCAGATACCAAATTTAAATGGGTCTCTGTATACCTTAGGAATGCTAAAAATCATCGCTGAATGTTATGAATAAGTTATATAGACAAGGAATGATCATAACAAAGACAATATCAGATCCACTTAATCCAGAGTACACATTTCCCTAGGAGGAATATGATAGTATTAAAGTGCAAAATGGAGCTGGTTTCATAATAATGATCATAGTTATTCTGATGTTCTTTATGCTGTCCATATTTGGGTACATAATAGAAAAGAACAAACTGGGAGACAAAAAGAATCAAAGCTCAATGGTTGAAGCAATTGAAGAAGAATCCTAGTAAAACGGAGCATCTATTGAAGCCAGAAAAGAAAAATGGGCTTTAGTAATTTACTCTTTTTCAATTACTAGAAATTTCCACGAGATCTTTTTTAAGCCTTACCGGTCAGTAAAGGACAAGAAGTTTGAAGTCTTCAATGGAATGAAGTTTCTCAACATGATTTGGATCATGCTAGGGCACTGCTTTCTAATGGCCAGTCAGTTTGGTAATACCAGCACCTACCTCAAGTAATAGATGCTTAATTAGTTCTTTACCTAAATAGTGGTTAGTTCTGATTTTGCCATATCACTATTCTACTTCTTGTCAGCTTTTATTGGAATGTATGGTCTAATCAAGAAATATCAAAGAGTTGATAACACTGACAACAATAATAACCATTCTGAAGAGATAAAGGTAGAGAGTTAAACAACTTGCACTTAGAGGCTCACAAAAAGAGCTTTATTGAAATAAGTTCTAGCTAGATGGCTGAGACTTGCTTTCCCAACTTATATTGTACTCGCATTTACTATGAGTTTGTTTAATTGTCTGGGATCAGGACCAACTTTCACTTATCAAAACAAATTTTTCCTTTAAGATCCATTGTAAAAATACTGGTGGACTATTGTCCTCTTCATTGAGAATCTTACTCCTTGGAACTCATAGCCAGGCATGTATTGGGCCTATTTTGTGGCCAATGAACTCTAATTTTATGCTGTAATCATGATGCCCTCTCTCTATTTATATTAAAGAAGAGGCATGAGAAAGACTGTATTTGTATATCTGCTTTTGATTATCTTACTCTCAAGTGCATATATTATAGCAGTCTCAATTTTCAATAACTTGTCAACTTTACTGATGGTTGATGATGATGATATATTCAATCTGATTTACAGAAGACCATTCGGTCCTGCTGGCTACTATGCATTAGGTGTCCTCTTCTCAATCTTTTACTTTGAGTATAGTTAAGCATTATCAAATAGATAACTAAGAGGCAGAAAGGCCTACTTATTTATGACATATATTGGAAGGACAAGACAAAGATGCCTTTTAATTTAGATATTAGGCTTGATAAGCCTGCTCTTCTTGATCTTTATCAGATACTCATGTTTTGCTTTCAATGATGATTAATCGAAAGTTAACATAGGCAGATGGCCTTATCTTCTAAATGCAATCTTCAATGGTACAGCTCACTATTTCTACATATTCTCAATCATGGCACTATTCATCCCAATCTTTTTGGGGAAACTTTCAATTATCAGAGATATATACGCCTCAGCCTTCTTTAGACCCCTTGCTAGAATAAATTTCTCCACTGCAATGATTCAAGGTATAGCCCTATTCTTAGTATTCTTTAGCCAAGAAAAGCATGCCTACTTTGATCATAAAAATATCCTATTCATCTATTTTGCATTGATATTAAATGTCTATCTTTGCGGTTTCTTGGTAGCTCTATTCTTTGAGTAACCTTTTAGAACTCTTGGTAAGGTAGTTTTCTCTCCACCCAAAAGAATAATCAGACTTAAAAATGAATTGGCTAAGGAATTAGCCACTGGAATAGATAGCGTGTTTGGAGATGACTCAGAAATCGATGAAAATGAGATTAAGGATAATATTGATTAAGATCTCTCCAAAAATACGATGGATTAGAGTTTAAAGGATTTAAGAGGGTTAAATAGGTTAACTAAGATTTAAGAGTCTAGTGAAGAGATGAGTGATAGAGAATAGTTGATTTTTAAAAAGAAAAAAGAATGACTATAAAGTGCTTTTGATGAGATAATATTTTATTAAATTGACTTTAATTGCAAATGCTTTATATCTGGAAATAGAGGGGTTTTGGGGTTTTGGGGTTTTGGGGTTTTGGGG